AGCCCTTCCTGGAGGCCGTCACCCACCTCCCGCCTTTCTTCGGTGAGCCGGCGCCCGACATCCCCCGGATCGGGGCCCCGGGAGAGGGGAGGGGGGGAAAGGGGGGGACGGGGCAGGGCAGGGGTCGCCCCCTCCATCTCGCCCCCTCCTCGGGAGCCCCGCTTCCTTCCCTCCTCCCCTCCCTTCCCCTGGAAAAAGTTTCAGCCTCCCCTTCTCCATTCCTCCGGAGTCGTTACCCCGCTTGCGCCCCGCTTCCAAAGGGACTTTTGGCAACTGCTCGGAGCGCGCTTGAGTTGGAGTAGCCCCGGATGGAAGTGGCCTGTCGGGCAGGACGGGGGGTAGGATGGGGATGATGGGGGTTGTTATTCTCATTGGAGCTCCCGAGGCAAGGGTCGTTTGGACGGTACCGGTTCTGCTCCTGTTTAAGGCTTTACTCCAGTGGAAGAGTGGCTTTAAGGGCTGGGGGGGGTTCGGAGGAAAATGACCCCCCCGCACCCCTGAGAAAGACGGACCTCCCGTTACTTTTATGAGCCCTTCCTTTTCTAGCCCCGGATGGAAGTGGCCTGTCGGGCAGGACGGGGGGTAGGATGGGGATGATGGTGGTTGTAATTGTCATTGGAGCTCCCGGTTAGGAAACAGGGCAAGGGTCGTTCGGACGGTACCGGTTCTGCTCCGGTTTAAGGCTTTACTCCGGTGGAAGAGTGGCTTTTAAGGACGGGGGGGGGAATTGAGGAAAATGACCCTCACACACACACCCCGGAGAAAGACGGACGTCCCGTTACTTTTATGAGCCCTTCCTTTTCCTCCCCGGAACTGGAGGGGGACGCTAGTTGGGGATAGAGGGACTCAGGAGAAACCTAGTGGCAGGGAGTTTCGCAGGGCTTCTTCCACAGGCAGCAAAACAGAGTCCTGTACCGCCAGCAAAAAGGAGGGAGGCCGAAGCCAGGCAAAACTTGAATCTTTTAAGATGTCGCCAAGATTTCGCGGGGTTTGCTCTGCAGCAGGCTAAGGGGGCACAGAGCTTTTGGGGGGGGGACAATTCCTGGAGTCACAGTCCAACGAAATAACTTTGACAAGCTCTGAAATTGTGGTTCCCCCTCCTTTCAGAAATTGCACCTCCAGAAAAAGTGCACAGGCAGCTTGAAAGGGGGTGAATTCTTCCCCGGCCTCCCCCCTCACCCCCCACCCCTGTGTGTTCACTGTGTGCCTCTCCTTGCAAAGAACACAGGGCGTGTTTTTCCTGGGTGTCCAAGCAGATAAAACAGACGCCTGGGGACAGTTCTGGGTTTCCCTCCACCTTGCGGAAAGTTTCACTGAAATTCTGAATGAATAAAACTTTCTGACAACAGCCCTACGCCTGGGGACAGTTCCGGGTTTCCCTCCACCTGGCGGAAAGTTTCACTGAAATTCTAAATGAATAAAACTTTCTGACAACAGCCCTAAAAGGTAGAGCCCCTTCACTTTCCAAGGAAGTGGAGAGGGTGGGCCCCAGAGAGGAGGGCTTGCTCGAAGCCAGTGATCGAAGCCACATGGTGGTGGTGGTTGGTGGGTTGTGGTGGGGTTTCGGCTTGTGTCGTGTGGTGCCACAAAGCCCGCCTGGTGACTGTGGGCGAGTCCTCCTCTTCCGGCTTGTCCTACCTCAAACGCCACATGGTGGGTGGTTGTTGGTGGGTTGTGGTGGGTTTTTGGCTTGTGTCGTGTGGTGCCACAAAGCCCACCTGGTGACTGCGGGCAAGTCCTCCTCTTCCGGCTTGTCCTACCTCAAAGGGCTCTTGTGCAAATAAGGCTGAGGGAGAGGAGACCTCTATGTGGGCCTCCTCAAGACGACCAAAAGGCAGGCAGGAGACACTCCGAATAACTACGAAGCCTAGAACAAAATTGATATTCCTTACGCCAGATTTATTTACATGGGGATTTTTAGGGTCTGGATCTCGGACAGCTGGACAGGGGTTAGGGACTCGGCAGGCGTTTTGGGGGAAACCAACGACGGTCTTTTTGGGGGGTTTGGCAGCCTTGGGACCCCTGGGGGCTTCTCTGGCTCAATTCCTCCTCTGCAGTCCCTCGTGGACGACAGCTCCAGGAATCCCACTCCATCAATGATGGGAAATGTAGTCCAAAGAGTGAGGGTTGTGAGCTGTGGGACAAAATAGGTGTGTGGTTTATGGGTTTTGCCAGACCCAAGGCCTATCGTGACGGAGCTCGGCCTGTGAATGCCCTCTGCACACGCTCAGAGGAACTCATGCATGTCATAGACAGAGGATGCGGGAGAACCACGGCTGTCTACTCTTTGAGGTATTGCCTGCTGAGCCTATCGTGATGGAGCTTGGCCTGTGAATGCCCTCTGCACAAGCTCAGAGGAACTCATACATGTCATAGAATAGACAGAGGATGCGGGAGAATCACAGCTGTCTACTCTTTGAGGTATTGCCTGCTGGAGATACCGCCCAGCCTGCCTTCCCTTCGACATGTCGGTTGCGGAAGGAAAATCTCCAGCTCCCGGGCTCTGGGGTAAGCTGAGACGTCCGGCAAAGGTTTGCCAAGGGAGAAGGAGAAGGGATCAACATGCCGCCGAGAAGAAAGGAGATCACCAACCGGGGCTGTCAGGGAAGGAAGGCGAGCGCTCTGCAGGGAGGCCGCTCAATCCCATTGCTCTCCTGCCCGTCTTTGGCCGAAGAGGCTAGTTCATCATCATCATCATCACCACCTCTGAACTGCAAAGCTGGAAGGGATCCCTTATGGTTGGGTGCCCAGGCTGGCCCGTCTTTATCTTAACATGTTTTTTTAAAAAATATATTTTAAACAATAATAACTCAAGACCCCCTGAGCCCATAAGCGTTGCTGGAGAATTAATCTGAGCTGTGATCTGTCTTAGAATGGTTCCAAAAAGTGGAGCCTCAGTAATAACACGACACAGTTCCTCTGAACATGTGCAGAGTGTATATTCGCCTGGTGGGAGTTGCCGTGCCATCTGCACTGTGACGTCTTTCTCCCACCAACCCGGGGGTCCTGCTCCAATCCAACCGGGTGGGACTCCAGTCCCCATTATCCAAAATATATATTTTAAACAGTAATAACTCAAGACCCCTTGAGCCCATAAGCATTGCTGGAGGATTAATCTGAGCTGTGATCCGTCTTAGAATGGTTCCAAAAAGTGGAGCCTCAGTAATAACACGACACAGTTCCTCTGAACATGTGCAGAGTGTATATTCGCCTGGTGGGAGTTGCCGTGCCATCTGCACTGTGACGTCTTTCTCCCACCAACCCGGGGGTCCTGCTCCAATCCAACCGGGTGGGGATCCAGTCCCCATTATCCACACCCAGGATGACCCATGGCTGCGCCACTGGGTGGAAGGAAATTGTCTTCTTCCTGCCAAGAGGCGCCTGCCCCCATTTCTTGGCCAAAACTGCAAGTGGAGAGCAGGAGGCTTTTATTATACAGTGGGGTCTTGACTTGAGAATAGAAAACCAGAATTTAAAAATGGGGGCTCTCCAATGGAGAGCAGGAGGCTTTTATTATACAGTATATACATATTTTTAAAATAGAAAACCAGAATTTAAAAATGGGGGCTCTCCATGGCTGTTGCCTATGATCTGAAAAAAGTGGAAGCCCAGAGCTGAGGAGGGCCCTGCCTCAGCCTGCCTGATCCCGGGGCAAGCCAAGGCAAGGGCAATCTTGGGCAAGAACGCTGGAGCAGCCTCTGCAACCTTCCGGGCCTGATCCACCACAGCCAGTTTATCTTTGCTGGCAATCTTTGCTCCTTTATGGAAGTCTTTCTCCCATGGGAGAGATGTCAAAATTTTGACAAGGGCAGGGTTGCGATTTCTGCGTTCAGGCTGACGTATCTCCTTCCTCCCCCATTCCCTTGCCATAAGGCACTTCCTAGCTGGCTCTGCGTCACTGATGGTATCACTCTTCACAACAGCTTGACAAGGTAGCACAGCCTCTCTTTTTTTAAGACAGGACCTGCATTTGGGCCTGCTTCCCGGTATGTGTCATTTGTGGCTCATGCGGCCAGCAGTTATTTCATGGAGTAAACCACCAAGAGCCCTATCAGGATGGCCATGTCGGCTGGGGGATTCTGGGTGCTATAGTCCAAGAAATGTAACTTTCCCAAGTTTGCATGGCCAGTGACATAACAGGAATGTTCCTGAGTGTGCACATTTCTCTCCTTGATCCCACAAAAAAGGGAGTCTGTTTGTGGATCTTGTTCAATGGGTGTAATTTTGGTAGCTCTGTATTTTAGAAACTTATTTTAGAAAGCATAAACGCCCCCCCCCGAGACTCAGAAAGCTTTGCTTCAAAACACCCCATTCCACAAATATGAAGGAAAGGATCAGCAGCAGAAACCCCATCCTTATGTTTTACAAGAAGCAATCTGGGTTTGAAAAAGGGGCCAATTTGGGCTGAAAGTTCCCAGGATCTTGAGCAACGGCGCTGCGAGCCGTCAGCTGAGAAAGGAGCTAGAAAATTAAAATAAAGAGCAATTTTAATTGTAAAGTGCAAGGAAACAAATTAAAGGAGTCCCTTGTCTAGTCTCGGAGATGTTGGGTGGGATACTGCGTGGGTTTCTTGTTTCGGCTAATCTGTATTTTGTTGTGCAGTTTAGTTAATAAAATTTTGAACAACTGGGAAAAAAATTAAATAGGGAAAGACCGTCCTTGGCTTTTCTCCGCACCCTCCCAGGCCCTGCAAGGGGGTAAAAGCAGGCTGGGGTGCCAGGGCCAGCGGGTCACCCCTCACCTGCCTCTGACCACCCACACCTTTTGCAACCGGGCGAGACAAATCTGGGTGTCTCAACAGACCTGATTCAACCGGGAGCAGGTACGAGAGCATTTGCCTGGGAGATTATCTGACAGGTTAGGCGCAGCCGCTGCCGGGAAACAGGTCGGTCGGGCTCAGACCCGTTTCTCGCGATGCCTGCCAGGTCTGAGGTTGGCAACCGGTTGCCGGCGTAGGTGGTTGGGTGCCAGGGCGGCCTCCTCTTTTAATAAGCCTTTGGGCAGGAACGGTTTTGCTTAATAATAGCTGCCGCGTGGTGGTGGTGGGACACTTTTCGAAGGAAGAGTAGTGTTCCATCTTAGACGGGCAGGGTATAAAATTAATAAACAGATAAATAAAGAAATAAAAAGTGTGGGGATAAAGAGGCTGCAAAGAATCCTTAGGAAATGGATCGGAGCACCAGGGCAGATGGCGAAAGAAGTCGGGCAGGACTGGGATGTTGAGGAAGGTGGGTCACTTTTTAGACTACAGTTCCCAGAATCCTCAAACAGTCCTGGGGGGTCTGGGGAGCTCTGGGCCAAGGAAAGCAACAGCAAGCCAAAAAAAGGTGCCTAAATATGGTATGGCTGTAGCGGAAAACCTGTTCCGCTCCAAGTGGCTTAAACAGGCCAGACCGGAAAGGCGGGTCCCGCGTGCTTTTCCCCCAGGGCATGTGTTAGAAAGGTCCAGGGTTTTGTCCTCTTTCCATCGGGCCTTCTCCAGCCTCTCTGGCATCTCCCCACAGGTTGCTGGAATGAGTGTCCCTCGACATGTTTATTATTCTTTTTATTCTTATTATTTTTAAGGACAGCCCACCCACCGGGTTATGCAGCAGGTAGGTTTTTAAACGCTTTTAGCAGCCCAGAATTAAACACTCTTAACCAGCCACGGGGGGACAAACTTGCTTTAGAAAAAAACCAAGCCCCCAAGCTGTCTTCTTGATGGCAGAGGAGCGCCCGTCCTCTCCACAGCCGGGGGCAAGTTCCTGCCGAAAGGACAGCGGTTCTGCTCAGCCTCTCTGGGCCAGCGCTGCCTTTCGGGGGGGGGCGTCCCTCTCTGGCCGGTTCCATTCCACCGGGGAAGGTTCCCGGGAGACAATGGCCAGGCCTGTTCGGCCCCTGCCCTCACAATCTCTCCCATTATCTCCAGAACCATGGCAGAAAAACCTCGCTTCCCGCCCGCCCCCAACCGTCCCTCTCCAAACCATCTGCCGGCCGACCGGCTCTGACAAAGACAGCTTTGAGGGTCAAACCATTTGTGAATCTTTTTTTCTCTCTTGGCGTTTAGTGTTTCCCTCTCTCTCCACGGTTCTAGAAGGAGCCAAACACTCGGAGGGCTAAAGTTACTGAGCAAGCTTCGTGGCTGAGCAGGATTTGAACGCAGGGGTCCAGAGTCCGGGCGCAGCTGCTCTGACCCCTGCAGTGTGCTGGATCTGAACTGCTCTCTTGTGTCTCTTCCCAGGTTAAACGTGGACCGTCGGCTGCTGCTCAGCCGAGAGAGGATGATTCTGGGGGAAAGGCTGTGTCCCACCAGGGCTTAAGAGGGAGCTGGTTTTAGGTCTCACTCCAGCTCAAAAGGACATTTTTCCCTTAAGCTTCTCGCTTTCCCTTCCAGATTGCTTGGGGACCCCGCTCGTCTACGCGCCTGTCAAGGCCGATCTGTCTGGCAACATCAAGGTAACAGAGACCCGCCAGGGAGAGATTTTCCCACCCACCCACACAGCCCCCCCCCAAGTTGTTGACTAGGTAGCCGGGCTTACCAAAACTTACTATTTCTCTCTGGATTGCACCTTGTGGGTGACTCTGGGGTTTTTAGTCCAAAAATCTCCTGTCCAGCCTCTGGATACCCAATGCTAACATCATCCCCCATCCAAATTGGACCTTGGTCTTTATTTTTATTTTTTAAAAGATCGCAGCTAAATCTTGGGGGTTACTGAGGCTTGCGGTCTGAAAAAGGCACTTTCGGGCACCCCCGATTCAGAATGCAGAGACGGTTATTTGTGCAGCCTTTTGCATACCATGTTTATTTGAGAATTATTTTGAAATATTTAGATAATTTACTGTTTTTAATCTGTCGTGAGGTAAGCCTCGTGGGGTCCTTTTAATGGAGAAAAGCAGAGTAATAATTGGATGGATGGATGGATGGATGGATGGATGGATGGATGGATGGATGGATGGATGGATGGATGGATGGATGGATGGATGGATGGATGGATGGATGGATGGATGGATGGATGGAGAGAAGGATTCAGTCCATGGTTGGCTTTCCAATGGAAAGAGGAGCAGGAAGCTAACCCCCTCCCAGATTGATCTTGCTGGACTACACCTCCCATCCTCGTGCCTACTGAGCAACCCCCTGGGGGATGATGGGACCTGAAGTCCAACATTGTTTGGAGGGCCCATCTTTGTCTTCACAGGATTAGAGAGCACAGAATGGGGATACAGCTTTTAAGACCCGGGAGGAACGCTGCTTGTCTGAGCTGGCCAGTTTTGGCTAATGGAAGGAAACTCTCTTCCTGTCGCTGTTTTGGGGTGAATGTTATTACATGAATCAGCTCTTAGCCAACTTCTTTTAAAATAGGGGGAAAATGTACAGGCGGCTCTGATCTCTGATAAGCTGAGCTTTTTCTGTTTTTTTTCCCCTCTGCACTTCAATTTCCAGAAAATCCGGGCTGTTTATGAGTCGAATCCGGCCAAGTTCAAGACCCTGCAGAACATCCTGGAGGTGGAGAAGGAGATGCACGGGGCGGCCTGGCCGAAAGTGGGCGCGACCTTAGCGCTCATGTGGCTGAAGAGGTGGGACCACAGGGTGGTTTTCAAAGAACATTTTCAGGGAGAGAGCGTTCAGAGTCTTCCGGCGACTTGATAGGTCGATATGAGGCTTATTCAAGCCGACTCAAGACCTAAGACTTAGAATTATTTATCAAGCCTGGTGGTTTGAAAAATGAGGAGTACAGAAAGATGCAACTTGATACCTGAAACACTTACGGTTGACTTTGCTGTCGCTGTTTGGGAAATGCCATTTAATTGCAGGACTCAAGGATTCAGAGGGCCAAATTTGGAGTTTTTCCCCTACCAATACCATCCCGTTTTTTAAAAAATTTACCTAGCTTGACAAAGTGCTCTGGAGAACCCCAAAGCTTGGACAGCTAGGCTGAGGAAGGTTTCTGGATAGCTCAAAAGCTTGCACACTTCCCTGGGATTTCAGTTGTCCCCATCAAACTGCAGGCAGCCTCGACGTCGTACATCTGCTCTGCTGCTTGAATTGTTTCCCTGACTTGGGAGAACAGGCAGACTATCATTTAAATAAATAAATCCTTAAAGTAAGGAAGAAAGAAGGGTCTAAGCTCTCCGTCTGACCCATAAATAAATTTCTCCAGTTTGATATTCTGCACCTGATAGAGGTGCAGTACTACTCTGGGCCATTTACGTAAATTAGACAATCATACAGTTAAATATGATAAAACCCTCACCCTAGCCATCAACCCCTTCCTCTCTCTTATTCCCCCCACGGACAGCTATGATGGGGACACCTCAGTCTAGGAGGTGTTCCAAATGTTTCCCTTTCTCTCCCTCCCGCAGGGGCCTCAAGTTCATCCAGGTTCTGCTGCAGAGCATCTGTGATGGTGAGCGTGATGAGGACAACCCGAACCTCATCCGGGTCAACGCCACCAAAGCGTACGAGCTGGCCCTGCGGAAGTACCACGGCTGGATGCTGCAGAAGCTTTTCCTGGTGAGTGAAGCCACAGAATCAGTTAAAAAAAAAAACAGAGAGAGAGAGAGAGAGAACCAGAGACAGAGATTTGTAAAATGGTGGTGTTCAGAAGGGGTTCCGGGGGGTCATCTAGTCCAACCCCTCCCAAAGAAGGGAACCGACAGCTCAAGCATTCCCAAGAGGTGCCCCCCCAACCTTTGTGTCCACGCCACCACTGAAGGAGGATCCACCAAGAGCGGTCCACTGTGTTGTCAGACAGTTTTCACTGAGAAATGCTTTTATTGAGAAATGCTTTTATTGCGACATTCTTCCTGACATTGAGCATCCACCTTCTTTTTCCGGATTCGAGCCCTCTGGAGCTTTCACTGAGAAATTCTCTGATTGAGAAATTCCTTTATTGAGAAATTGTCCCTGACGTCGAGTCGGCACCTTCTTCCTCAGGATTTGAACCCTCTGGAGCAGCTCCTTCCCTCTCATTTCCAACTGCTCTTGGCCTGTTGGAAGAACTCATCTATGACGGACGGACACGCTCTCGTTTTGGGGCCCTTCTAACCGGCTTTTGTCTCCCCTCAGGGTTCGGTGTACGCTCTGCCGTACAAGTCGGATTTGCTGAAGGCCTTAGAGAAAGGCAAAGAGGTGAAGGAGGAGGAGACCCTGGAGAAAATCCACCAGTTCCTCACCAAAGCGACGCCCATCCTGGACGCCATTTACGAAATGTACACCAAAATGAACGCCGAGCTGAACTATAAGGCTTGATCGAGGAACACACACCCCCCCGATCCGCTCTCCTGCTTTGGCAAAGCGGGGAGAAGGCACCCCCACCGTCCCACGGCAAAACCCTCTTCCGGCTGCTGCGAGACCCTCCTGGCGGCTGCGTACGAGTCTCCGGGAGACGCCGAAACCTAGCGACTCTTCCCCACCGAAATCGAGGCCACAGAGCTTGGCAGTCGTGTCTCCGATTTTCCGGAAATGTTTGCCCTGTCCAGTCAAAAGCTGGAGCTGAAAACCTCTTCTAAAAACCTCTTATTATTTAAGCAGATTTACTTAAAACGGGTCGGAGTGGGGAAGGAGAGATAGCTGGCAATAATGCTTGACTAACGGCTACTGTAGTTCCTGTATACCTCTTATATACCTCTATATACGGGCTTCTCTCTCTCTCTCTTTCTGTATATATATAGACTGCTGCTCTCTTCCTCTACTGACAGCACATATTCAGGGTTGCCTGTATGATTAAAATTCCTTGATATCCTTGGGAAACTGCCTTTTGTGGGGGTGCTGCCCACCTTTCAGAGGTACAGCGAGCCTTTATTTGTGTGTGAGCAGGTTTTGCACAAAATCAGCCCAGCCTTTCCTACGGGACCTTTTTAACCTCACAGGGGTGATGATATTTCCGCCATGAACTTTTTCGGGGCAGTTCTGTTCTTCAGAGTTACCTGGGTCTGGTTTTAAACACTCTGCCGGGTTGTTGATTTTCTCTTCCCCCCCCCCCTTCTACTCCTTGCCGTGTTTTAAACACCAGCGGTTTCTGGAGTCCCAGAACACTTTTAGGCTTGAAGTGGATTGTTGCTCACCCAAGCCTTATTAGTACTATTGTCATGGATTTTTTTAGATTAGCATTGGTAAGAAACAAACAAACACAAAGAATGGAAAATAAATGTTTAATATGGGGTAGAGATACGTGTGTGCGTTTTGTGTGTTGTGTCCAGTGGGTTCCTTGCAAACAGTGTTGTGATGAGATTTGCACATTTCTGTTTTAGAGATTAACAACATGCCACACGGCTCCTCTGACGCATCAATTTGCCAAGTGGGACTTGACAATGTGTGCAAGCCACATGATGCTGTTTGCGAGGAGGTAGAGATTCTTTCGCAGCCTGCAATTCTTGGACTCTGCCACCTGGTGGCGCTAGTCACACCTTACTCAGCGAGTAGCCTCTTGAACGATCCATACGCTAAATAGAGTTCATTCTCTAAACCATGTAATGTTTGACCACTCGCTCTTTTATCTAGACTCTCTCTGTGACCGAAACAAGAACTCTACATTCTCCAAAGATTTTTTTTTCTTTTCCAGGCCTTCAGTGATTTGTGTGATAATTTCCAACCCATGGGCTGAAATCCTGTTGCACCTTTATGCAAATGGGGTAAAGTTCAGAGGCCTGTTGCTGTGAGTTAGGAAATCTCCACAGGCACGATCCGTTGCCCACTGAATCACGAGTTCTGTGACAGGTCATTTCTAGGGAGATTTCTTCAGGTACAGCAATTTGTTTCCCGAAACTACACTGGCTGCCAAACGGCGCAATAGGATTTGAGCCGTTGATGGTAGCAGGGAGGAAAGGGAAGGAGCAAAAACACTATGTGTCCTAAGTGAGAGGTAGCCGACCCACAGGTGGATAATCCAGAGCAGGTACCATCAGGGGAAGACGGCAGGTCCTTGCTAGGAACGCCCCATGTCCTGCCAAGATGGTGCCTGCATCAGCCGGATCATACTTTAACTTGTCCGATCAGAGATGAAAACTCACATGGGGGGCCCCAGAAACAGGACATCTCCTCTTTTAAATGTCCCACAGACCTCGGAAACCCTACCAGGATCACCAGAAGTGACTCCACGACACACGACAACATTTTTTCATTGAGATCGGGGTCCAGGAGGACAGAGAAGGGGGGGGTGCCCTGCGAAAAGCAACAAGCTGCCTCTACCATTCATTCCTCCCTCCCTCCCCCGCAAAAAGTCTGTTCCCTGCCCTTCCCTCCCCTCTCTATCCCCCCCCCAACCCCAGTCCTAATCCTGCCCAGGCGCTGAGTCCTTGCTGCATTCCAGGGGGGATTAACCTTCTGCCTTTTGATCTCTGAAAACTGCAAGACCCAGGATTTTGCAGGGAGCTGGAGAGCCAGCTACAGTACGTCAGGCAATTCACCCCCATAGGAATATAATGATAATATTGGTAATTGCATTAATAATAACACTATACTATACTAATGTGAGCGTTTGTAGACAAGTCTACTTCTTCAGATATTCAGAGGGCCACTAGGGAGAGCGGAGCCACGCCATGCCACGACACGCAGATCCTGATCTTCCACACACACCGTCCGGGCCACTGGGGTGGAATAATCACATTCTTGGACAGGAAATTTAAGGTGAATGGGAGCCGGAGGCTGGGGGTTCGAATCCCCTCCTAACAAAGAGGAAACCACCAGAATCTCATGATCGACAGGGGAAACAGATACTTTCATACAACTCCCTCTGGATCAGATCAAGCTCGAACCTTCTCCTCGGGAGGCCACCAAGGTGAGACCGAGGCTCGCCCTCCTTTGGGCCCATCTCCAGAGAAGGCAATCTGGGAAAAGTGGAAGGGCCGTAGGGAATGAGGAAAGCCAAGCCGGAGAGGGATCGACTCCATCAAGGAAACCACAGGCGAAACAGATACTTTCATACAACTCCCTCTGGATCAGATCAAGCTCGAACCTTCTCCTCGGGAGGCCACCAAGGTGAGACCGAGGCTCGCCCTCCTTTGGGCCCATCTCCAGAGAAGGCAATCTGGGAAAAGTGGAAGGGCCGTAGGGAATGAGGAAAGCCAAGCCGGAGAGGGATCGACTCCATCAAGGAAACCACAGGCTTGGGTTGGGTT